TTTTTTACAAATAGAAAGAAACCACTTCACTTTCATGTCACTGTTAATCCTTTGTGGTGGAACTGAAAACTTAGACATTCCAGGATTAAGGGACATCATCTCAATTTCATATAACTTTGAATCCACATTAACAAGTTCTTGCACTTTGTTGTACAACTCTATATACGAAATGCTAGATGGAACATAAAGAATATCCACATTTTCTTCACCGTTTCCTATATAATCCCATGTCCATTTGTTTTCTTCAGTCTTTTTAAACTCGACAAAATAGCATACTTGTACCCATATCATTTCTACAGAATCCATACTGTAAAAAAAAAAAAGTTAAATAATTTACTCAAGTATATATCAAAGTAATATGAAAATAGTTACCATATTTGAATGATCAAAGTAACCACAATATATCATCAATAATGGACAGATCATAACAGATAACGGTTGTACTATCGTTTTACATGGTAGATAACGACTGTAGTGTCGTTCTGAACTACTAATAACGACTGGAGTGTCGTTATCGTCCAATAGTTGCGGACGATGCAAATATACACCAAATGCGAAAATAAAATCAACTAAAATATCATTTTATACTATATTCAACAATAAAAATACCAATATAAATGAGATTTCTAAAAATACCTTTCTTCTTTTTTTAAATATAGTAGAAATTTCAATGTGGATAATGTAGACACCAAAATCCTTGTTAAAATGCTCAAAATATTAGAGAAGATAGATGAAGAATGCAATGAGTAACAAGATTTTAAGGAAGCATCCACCAGGAAAGCCGTCCACTGATTTTTGCTGATGATTTGAGGGATTTAATTAGATTGAAATGGGTATTTGAGTCTTTTCAATGGTGAGGGTATTTTAGACATTTGATCTTATTTGTTTATTGTTTTTTTTGTAAGTGGAGGCTATTTTATCAAATAACATTGAAGGAAGGTTATTTTACAAATAACATTGTTTGACTGGGCTTTTTTTTTTATCAAATTCCCCTTATTAGTTTCGATCTCTTTAAGTGGATTTAATGACAAAAAGTAATGTGAATGGACGACAAGAGGGTCTTCCATGACTCAAAAGCCATATGGGGAGGTTTTTCATCAATCTGAAAGGGTAAAAAGGTATTATGCGATATGATCAAAAGTTAAGAGGATTTTGCATCAACAAACCTTTATTTTAATTCGAGTAGTTTGTTTGTGTAGCACATCAAGTAAATTTAAACGACATCCTAGCAATTGTTGTAATTGGCATGATTAAATGTATAAATATCTATGTGAAAATTAAAATAAAAGTTATGAAAATATAATTCATATTAACAACTCAAATATTCAACAGGCTTTGATGATCCCGTTTATATAGATATTTATCCCTTGTTTGATGGTCATTATTTTTTTTAAAAAAATTGATGTTTTATGTTGTAAATTTTATAGAATGTGTAGTTGAAAAATAAGAAAAAAGTTAAAATTTTCATGTAAATGTGATTAAAAATAAATATGAGAATAAAATAATTTTGTTACAAACAAGGGCTTAAGTCATTTTGTATTAATGCATTTCTAGGAACTCAAAAGTAATATTACTCATTCATCATTCATTTATTTTTATGTCCCTACTATATAAAAAGGAGAATGTGAAGTTACTGTAGAAATTAATAGTAACTTGTTCCATTTTGTCTCACTAAAGCAATTTTTATTTTTAAGTGAGGGAGCAAAAATGACGCTGTTTGTCTTAATTTATATTTTATTATATAGTGTACTTCTAAATTTACTGCGACACGCAACTTTCCATACCTCCCATCAAGTTAGCTTAAAAAATTCACAGAGCGGGACACCCCCACTCCTCCTCACCCCGCCAACCCATCGGAGCAGGGCGGATTTTTTTTGCCATCACTAAATGAAACTTTCTGCAATTTGCTATATTAATATAAGCAATTCAAAAGGTGTTAAAAAAAATCCATTAAATTTCGTAAATACCTTTTTCTAAATTCTACACATTTTGCATTAATAATAACATAATAAATACAAAACTCCTGTGTTGACAAAGACTAGTATAATTAAAAAAAAAAAAAAAGGAAAAAAAAAACTCTCTAGTGGCAAACAGCGAATGTCCTCGATAATGCTTCCAACTGGCAGGCGCTCGGCACCCGCCTCCTCTTCCTCAACCCCCCACGCTCGATCTCCTCTCGATTCTCAACAAAGTAAAATAAAACTGGGATTCTTTCATTCAGGACTGATATACGCAATTCATAACGGTATGTATTTCTTTCTTATTTGTTCTCCAATAATAATAATTATTTTCTCACTTATATAGAATTTGATAGGTTCTTTTAATTTTTCATTTTATTTTTCTCATTTTTACTTTTATTTTTGTTATTTTTCTCAGATTGTTGGTGCATGAAAAGTTAGACTTGTGGTTCATTCATTCATTTTTTTTTATTACAACCTGTTTGCACTTCTGCTATGCTATCCCTAGTTTTGTCAAAAACAAACACTGCTGCTTGTTGAAATTAATTTTCGATATGTTGATAAGAATTACTAGGCCTCAGTTAATAAGTTAAATCTGGTTATGTGTTTATAAAGGCCTGGCACCATGCCACCATGATCAAGATTTGATTAGAATGATTAGTTGATTGCTTAATTTGATTGGTAGATCTTACATTCGTATGTTCTCAAAGAAAATGTAAATGGGCTGTATTTTACATTTACTAGTTGTTTGGATTGCAATGGGTGTCTTCAGCATAACCTCTCGAATATCATAACCTACGGGGTGGTAGTGAAACTGCAAAGGAATTCGGTGATTTCTCCAGTTGTTGAAAAGTCTAGCATGGCTGTGGAAACGTCAACAAACAGGCCAGTGCTTGCTCCTAGTATTTTGCATAGGAATTGTCTTTGATTAGCTTGAGTTTTCCTATCATATAATCAGGTGAATGCTAGAAATCTTACTTTTGTTGAACATGTGCTAACTCTTACAGAGCCTGTGTCTTTGTTTATGTCTTTAGTAATATTGAAAATTGGGAGCTATCTAGGTTCTGATCAAAGAAATTACAAGCCTATAAAACTGTCTGTGATGGGAGCTTTGGAGGGATTGTGCCAAGTAATCGACCAAATCAATGTCAAGATAGTATTATAGGAATGTCAAAATCCTAGTGGGTACATTATATCAATCTTTATACTACGAGGAATGAAATATAACATGTGAAGCAGCATTCTTTAAAAATCAAGAGCATATTCTATGAAAGGAACAGTGGTTTTCCGAGCATATGATTTCTTTTAGTTAATATCTTTTCACAAAATGGTAAGATGTATAGGAGAATGTCTGTTGATGCTACCAAAAATCTGAACTTGTGAAATCTCGACCTTAACGATTGAAGATGACCGTGAATGGGATCTCCAATACTTGACAAAGGTGTTTAGGTATGACCTTGTCGCCTCTCCGATTCTCAAGTTAACGAGAAGATAATTTATGCGAAAGGTTATAAATGTGCCTTAATAATGAGTTGAGGACTTGTATCCATAGAGGTGGACGAGGCAGTCCTGGTAGGATTAGATTATGAATGTATTATTGTTTAGGAGTCATGGATTGCATTTAAGTCCTACAAGGATAGGATAATAAAATCCTATTAAGACTATACGTTTTCGAAGTTGGATAGGCTTGAATTCATGGAAGTAGTCCTATTAGGTTAGATGTCATTAGTTAGAGATAAAACTAAGGTAATTATCCGAGGTCACATCAAACCACTATGTGGTCTGTATACTCGAGGAGGTTGAATCCCGAGGAGGTACGGGGAGAATCCTCCTAAATCAACCGAAAACAAGGTCGGGCATTGAGTCCTCGGGCTGAGGTCCTTGATGAATTTTCCATTAGGTCAAATGCTTAGGTCGGGAAATAGGCTATGAGGGGATAGCCAGAGGACACCAATGTTCGTAATATAAAATGGTGCCCGACCCTTCTTGAGCCTGAGCATAACTCCATTGAGCCACAATAATGGTAACTCCAGTGCTCCAACACGATAGGTTGAGCTATACAAGATTTGGTCATATCATCTGTAAATATATAAAATTTTCATAAAATTATATATGGTACAGTTTACAAGATTCAAGGTTCAATATTAGGAAGAGGAAATTCTAAAATCAGGTGTAAGTTCTCTGAACATTCTGAAAGCAGAAAAGACGGTTGGAGTCAGTCTTTTGAATTTGAAACCATGAAATTTGCCATGCAGAATCTTTGAGGCATTGAATTGTAGACGATAATCCTATGGATGCGTGGGCCTCAGAAATTTTGGTTTGCTAGAAGAAATTTCAAAAGCGTAGCTAAACTCTAAGCGGACTTTCTAGGAGTCATTCCTTGCCATTCTCTGCTAGGGTTTCTCGATCTCCTTACAGTAGGACACAAGAATATTTAACGACGATGTTGGAGACTTTTGAGTAAAAAAAAAAAAGAAAAAGATGGTAATGTGGAATTCTTGTAGTCACCGGTGTTGATGCAAGATCCGATAAATTTCTTCATTCATATAATTATGTTGCTTTCTAACTGTACATGCTTTCTTGAAACGAGTTACAAATTATAAGTCATGTTCCAGCTAATTCAAACAGTTTTGCACTCCCATCCCCCAAAATTAAAAGAAAAATGGAAGAATAGAAAGACCATCCCTACTGGAATGAAGACTGAAGTTCATATGGCTACCTAAAAATTTTCCATTGGCTTCTTTTGTCATTGAATTATGGTCAATCAGCATGTTTCAACCTGTGAAATAAAAGTAAAAACTACATTAGAGACAATTTTAGTAGGGCTTCCCACAGTCTGAGGAGAAAACTAACATCAGTGTTTCTGAAAATGTCAATGCTTTCTCTTTCTGAATTGAAAGATAAAAATATGCTATTAAGACGCTTTCAATAGCTGTACTGATTTACAGCATGCACACATAGTTATTCAAGTTGATTTATATCTTCATTTTTCACTCTGTAGGTTTCTGATGTATAGTGGCTGATGATTTATAGAACTTTTACACACTTTGACCTTTCTATTTCAACTTTTTTATTAAAACAAGAAAAATATTCTACTTTGAGTTACTGTCCAGAAACATTATGGTCCTGTCTGATGTCAAAACATTTCTCTATGCAGGGCTCATTCTGGCAAGAAGAAGCTGGGGAAAGTTCCTAAGAGAATTTCCAAGGCTGAGAGAGAGAAAACAAAGCGTGAACATTTGAATGAACTCTTTCTTGCTTTATCTAATGCTTTAGGTATTTTCTAAATGTTCTAATGATTCTACTTCAATTATACGTGAAATCTGACATCAAAACTTGATATCTTAAATGACTTTGCTTTTACAGAATTATCTGAGCAAAACAATGGTAAGGCCTCTCTATTGGATGAGGCAATTCATGTGGTGAAGAACACGCTAGATGAGATCGACAGTCTCAGAAAAGAAAATGCAGCTTTGTTATCTGGATCCCAGTATGTAAGTCATTGACATTTAGTTTTCACATTCTGTGTAGACACCTTTTTATCACCGACAGTGTTTATTTTTGTGTGCAGCAATTTTCATCAGTGGTTTTTGTGTACGCTCATACCTTGGTGACTTGCAGTATAACTGAACCTGAGTTAATTAACATGTTCTGATGTGATTTTTATATCAATTCATAATGTAGCAATTGTGAGTTCCATAATCCACTGGGAATATGCACTGGTTATGCTGGGGACCCTTTGAAGAGGAAGGGTGAGGATGGGGTTGGAGCGCATAAAATGAAAATAAAAAAGGGAAAAAATGTAGTAGGATAGCAGACAAAGAAAGTTGACAAAGAGGATTCTACCATAGTCGACAAAATCTTGCATTTAGAATTTCAGAAATCTTCTAACACTAAACTAATTCTGATCTTGTAAATAAAGTTCGATTCTCTCTGTCTCTGTCTCTGTTTTTGTTTTTGTTTTTTTTTTTTTTTTTTGGATGCTTAAATGTCAAAATTTTTACTCCTCCATTTTTTTGTAACTATAATTTTATTCCTGAACATGTAAATTTTTTAATACTACTACACATATTTCTTTATCTTGTAATTTTTTCTTCATTTTAAGTTATAATCATCATTACATGATAATTGTATTAAAAACCTGGTACTTTTATTTTCCTTGTGCAAAAGATCTTGATAACTTCCACAAATAGTACTCTTTTTGAAGAATGTAACATATGATGTTGTAAATGATCTCAGTAATACTATGTTTTGAATTCTTAAAAGTGATAGAAAAGAAATCTTCTGCAGGTTCTATTGTCAAAGACACTGGACATGGATAGATCTAGCGTTATTTCCTGATTTTTCTTAAGAAGCATCACGAGATGAGTGGAAAATTACAAAAAGAATAAACAAAAAGTAAATTCGTGACACTATTTTGGATCTTCTAAGGTAGTCGAGTTCTTTTAACCGGTCAGGAACTCTGAATTTAACCTGAACTAATTCTCTTTATTGACAGGTAAGCATGGAGAAAAAGGAGCTCCAAGATGAGAATTCTGCTCTGGAAGCTCAAATTGGTAAACTGCAATGTGCACTCAAGGGGAGGGTTTCTGGTTCGCAACTCAACCTAAATGTAGCCCCACCTGAATGTGAGCTTCAAGATCTGGAGTCACTTGGTGATGATCATCATCATAGATTGGCTTGTATGGAACCGGCTGCTAATCCTTTATATCTTGTCCCCATCTGCTATCAAGAGCTTGCTACGACAGAACTTGCAGGTAAGCCCATGCCGGTTGTGAGCAAACCCCATCCTAGATATCTTACTGCAGCAGACACGTGGTCGTCCGATTTCTTGAAAACCAATCAAAGTTAGGTGTGGAATTTGGATAAGGTGATAGAAATACAGGTGGATGTGCAGGAGGAAGGCTATGGCAATGGAAACTATGTGATCTACAGTTTTAGTCTGCTAAAAAACTCATCTTCGATCTTCTATCACCTTTCAGTACATAAACTTGGATAATTTTCCTAATGTGGGGAATAGACACGATAAATTTTGCCATAATTTTAAGAATGATTTTAAATCTTGCGAAAATTGTATAGTTTGTCATGACATTACTTGAATAGCAAGTTAGTTTCCAACTAGGAGGAAGTAGCTGGTGACAAAAGTAACTAAACTTTTGTTAAGTCGATATGTGATCCCCGTGAAAACATATCTCACTTCAAGGTTCTAGACGTTGGTTCAAGTTGTGAAGCTATCTAATTTAATAAAGTTGAACATTTGAGGTCACATAATATGACAATTCAACATAGTTTTAGACAGTTTTTTTGCTTGTTTTGTAGCGTTTTCAAGTGCTCGTAAATTGTAGGTTCTATAAAATATTCAGATAATTAGTAGATAAAATTTATGGGTCTTTTGAAATATATAAATAAAAAATACTCAATCAGATTAAATTAAAAAGATAAGCTTTCACAAATATGCACAAAATCTTTGAAGGTTAAAAAAAAAAAAAAAAAAAGGGCGCTTTAGACTAATAGTTTCAAAACATATATTTTCTCGTTCTAACCCTGGAAAGTCGCTAAAATGATTTAGCGCGCTAATCTCCAACTCAATCAATTATTATTATATTATTATTATTTTGGGGATTAACGAAAAAAAAATTAATAAACAATATAAAAATTTCTTCAGCTTCCACGAATACACGTATGCCGACTATAGCTACTTTGGTTTGGACCACGAAACAACATTTGTCCTAGCGGCTTTTGTCTTTTTCTCGCTCTATATTCCTCTTTTTCTCTTTCTTTGATTGGAAATTGAACTAACCCCATTAATTCACTGACATTTCATCAGGAAAAAAAAAAAAAAAAACCGTAAATCTTCTGCAAAATTGGGAGATGGGGGGATCATCTAATGCTGCAAGTTTCCTTAAGGTGTTGGTCTACAATTTTGACGTTCTTGCCGGGTTTGTCTCTTTTTGTTTTTCCCCCCCTTTTCTTTAGTGATTCTGCTAGAGTTTTACAGTTAAAGATTTATACCTTTATTTTGTAAAGACTTGATGCAAGAATACATGTGATGTGAATGATACTTCGTGATTGATGATTCAGGTTCTTGATTTAGGATTTGTTATTTCCTATAACAGGGTTTATAAATTGATTCGCGGGGAAAAATCTTGATGGGTTCTTGATTATTTTGTGAATAAGTGATATAGATTTGTTTATTTATGGGCTTTCACTGATTTTGTTTCATGTATTTTATATTGCAGGCCTGTAGTTAGTCTGGTTTATCCTCTGTAAGTAAGGCTTTTTTTTACCCCCCCCACTAAACCAAATTTAAGTACTACTTTATGATAGCATGTTTGGTATGGTGAATTGGATGGAATCACAGTATTAAAGTAGGAGAAGAAGTTAATTTTTTTGTACTGCTGCTTATGACCGTCCAGTACTTCACACCAGATATGCTCTTATTGCACACACAGATGAGTAAATACTTGATTCTGACTTACTATTTGAGAATGACTTTCAGTTTATGGTCGTGGTGTTTTAAATTTTTGGGCAGATATGCCTCAATTAAGGCAATTGAGACGAAATCGCCCATTGATGATCAACAATGGCTTACTTATTGGGTTCTCTATTCCATGATTACACTTTTTGAGCTCACATTTTCTAAGCTCATTGAGTGGTAAGTTATCACTGTTTTGCCGCTTCATTTACCCTTCATTTACTTATTTTCGTGCTTGGAGTGCTGTTGATGTAGAATTCAATCCATTTAGTTACTATTGTACTGGGATGTTGCTTACATGTTAGGCTTATCCTAATCATATGATGCATTATTAGGATTTGAAACTGAAAAGGTAAAGGGTCAAAAGCTCAAACTGGCGTAAAAAATATTTAAATAAATAACACATATGTGTGTGAAAACCGGAGGTGGGGTAGTGATAGACTGGTAGTCTTCTTTAGTTTCTTTTACTAAATTTATATTGTTTATCTCTCACACACTACAGTCCAGTGTTTTAGGTATGTGATATTTTCCTCAACTCATCACACCTTATCTCTCTCTCTCTCTCTCTCTCTCTCTCTCACTCTCACACACACACATTTACATGCTAACTCAACTCTCACAGCTGCTGGGAACTAAATGCAGAAAACCCTGCCAGAAGATGACAGGGGTAGCGGATGATTTATCTTGTTTGGGTTTTTTAACATTATTTTCTCCTTTTATTTTTTAAAAAAAAAATAGAACCTTACTGGCTGACTCGTAAAACAGGTCCCAGGTCAACCGAACCGGCTGGTTGACAAAGTTTGAGGCCAATTTTTATCTATATGGTTTCTGAGATATAACTAGACCTACTCCTGGTTTTTCTGGTCGCATTGGCCGGTCTGGTCTAGTTTTGGTAACATTGGTCCAACATGTGATAAAATGACACTTGATCTCGAAAATGAAATAGTACCTAGATTAAGCCCTTAGTTTCAATTTTCAGTCCATTATTGTACTTGTGAAATTTGTATGACACCGCCATGGGATGTTGAACCTGCACACCTGATTAAATGTGCGAACTTGACAATTTGGAAGTGCCAATCCTTTGAATAAATCGGACTTTTTTCACTTAATGCACAATGCAATGATACGGAAGGATATGATGACGAGAGGGAAGAAGGCCATCGATGGGAATATTGAATAGGGATTTGAGGATTATATTTTGTGTTCTTTATGAGACATAACAGAAATAACTATGAACATTGATATGCTTATGATAATATTAGGTTTAGCAGTTATAGGTGGAACCTTGTATATAGAATCAGACAAGTTATTAATAAGTTTGCCTGTAATTCTGCATCTCTCCTTGGGTAGGAGTATACAAGCAAACTGGGGATGGATTTATATTCAAATGCCTTTTATTTGAATTTCTGGTTACTAAAAACCATCTAGCATCAGAATTGCATTCTGGCATTTAGCTATTTTAATTTGTAAAGCAGAAGTTTAAGGATTTACTATGATGTCCATTTCATTCACCTTGAACAAATGTAAGATGATGTACATTTCATCCACCATGAGCAATCATAAGCTTTAGTTTTTGAACAATCAGTCATATTCGCTTGTTTAGTTGAAACTTGGAAGCACATGATTTGGCTTAAATTATTGATGGTAGAACGCAGAGCTATATTGTAAAATGTCTGAAGTCCATAAACACGTCATTTAGTAATTTTGCATCCTTCAAGTTGTATTGGAATTATTATGTGCGTTGGACCTTTTTAAATTTTAAGGAAGAGTATGCTCTTTGGTTACCTCAAAAAAAGGATCCTCCATGCTAGAAACTCCTAAGGTTTAAGATTTTAAGAAGGAACCAGCTCACTGTTTTGCAGCAAAGATTGTTATAGAACACCTTAAAATCTTCTAAACTCAAGGAGTTTTTGAGGATAATTTTTAAGGCAACTACATAGCATACTATTTATTGGTTTGGAGGATCATTTAAAGGGCAACTGCGATGCATACTCTTCCTCAAGAATGGTCAATTTCAAGTGCGGGAGGTTAACAGGGCTATGAACAGTTGGAGAAATGGAAATGCACGAAGAATTTTAAGTTGCAATGAAGGCTTTCTGCTAGCTAGAAGAATATGTATTGGATTTGATACCAAGATTATAACCACAGTTTGATTAGCCTACATCTTATAGTCCTAGGATTACAATAAGCAAACCTTTCAAGACATCGATCAAGATTGGGAGTTCGCATCCTCATTGGTGCTTTTCCTATTGGGGGTACCTTTCATGGTTAATAGATTGGTTATGGGGATATCCTTATTGGGGATTAACTTCCTAGGCTCCCTCAAAAGATACTCTTTGACTGTGGTGGCTTGTTAATTAATTCGGTCTCGAAGGAGGTTTAGACAAGATTAAACTAACTGCGATACAATTTTGTGGAAAAAAAGGCCGGATCTCAAAATTATTGAAATACAACTTACGGACTCTGGACTACTACAAAATATAGCTATGGACTTCAAACATTTCACAATGTATTCAAGGTAGTCTTGTGACTATCACTGGATTACTGCGTCTACCAAATAATCTTCCTGATGAGAGAGGATCTTTTGGTGGGAATATTTTCCATTTTGATTAAGCAAAGCATTCCATAAAGTTTATGAAATATTTCGAGGGACCCACAAGTACTACCTACTTATTCCGCACTCATTTCTATCTATTTATAATTTAAACCATTATAAACACTTTGTTAAAATGCTATTAGTGTCCAGTATCATTTCCTGTTATCTTTTGGTGCGATTGATTCATAATTCATAAAACAAAAAGTACTTTTTCAAATTTGTCTACAATATCATAACTGGAATGGAAATGCCCATTATGGGGAGGTAAAGGAGGCATGAAGATGATAAGGAAAGAGGGTGCTTGGCACCTGTCAATTTTAGAAGGGTGAATTACGAATTAGAGCCATGAAAAATGAAAGAAAAATATGTTGATATCTGTGGTTTTAAGAGGAGTCTAGATTGTGATAGAATACATTTCTCACTGCGAATGGAATTTTAGCACTTCCAAGTTCAATTAAAAGTATATTCCACGTCCATTTTTTACTCTGCCTGACATCTAAAATTTATGAGCATTTGTTTCCTCAGCATGCCAATGGAATTTTAGTATTTCATATTTAATTGGAAATATATGCTATTTTCGTTTATTTTCTTGGGTTAGCTTCATCTTCCCCATTCCGGTTTGTGCCTGGCATTTAAAATTTACGAGCCTCTGTTTTCTCCATATATGCTAGGCTCCCTTTCTGGTCATATGCAAAGCTGATATTCACCTGCTGGTTGGTCATACCATACTTCAGTGGTGCTGCATTTGTTTACGAGCACTATGTTAGGCCATATCTTGTTACCCGACAAAAAAGTGTCAACATCTGGTATGTCCCACGGAAAAAGGATGTCTTCAGCAAGCAAGATGACATTCTAACTGCAGCAGAGAAATACATTCAAGAGAATGGAACTGAAGCATTTGAGAAGCTTATTCACAAGGTAAGCTATAACTGGTTTGGAATTTATCTATAAAGAACTTTTCAGTACTTGTTTGCTACACCAATTTTGGCATTTTTTTATTCCTTAATATTGTCCAGAGTTGGTCTACTTCAACCATCTTGGATGTGGATTCCTGGTGATTTACGTAACCTATTCTTTGAGTCGGACTCATTTGATTCCTTTTTGTGTAGGAAAGAGAAACGACATCCAGGGCTAGCAGCTACTCATTTTATGACGATGAATACAGATACTGAGAGTTGCGTATATGGATACTGAGAATCGTAGTGTGTTATGGTCTTTGTTGGTCTGCTTTTGTAAACAGGGTCTTCAATTTGGTGTTTTACTGTTTCCTCAAAGTTTGACGGTGTGTTTCAAACTGCTGGTGTTCTTATGTTAATTATAGTATGTACCTTGTTTAATATTCTAAGGTCCTCAGAAATAACTATGTAACTTGATCTCTCATCAATTCAGTTCTACTTGGAAGTCATTCATTCTCGACTCACGTTTGGTTTTGATAATAATTAGATTTTAATAAATATTGTTAAGTTGATGAAATGTATAGTTGAAAAGTTGATAAAAGTTATGAGTCTTGTTAAATGTGTGATTGAAAATAAGTATGAGAAAAATAAATTTTAAGCAATGGAGGTCAAACAGGTCTTAAGTATGGTTTAATTATTTGAGCCACTGTTTGTTTCTCATTTTTGGAAGAATGAAAATGAAAAATATAGCCGTTATGAGCTCTACACAAGAGATAGAAATTCAAATTTGATAGCTTGATATAATGGATAACGGTCATATTTTTTATTTTAATGAGAAAAAAATGAGAACCAAATAGAGGTTGGAAGTTTCTCTTTTGACTTATGACATGCTGAGTAATACGATTTGGGCTTCTATCATAAAAGGTAACATTTTTTAGAGTAGTTTAAGTCCTAATATGTTGAGGTATATAAAACTCATTTTTTAACATGTTTTCGTCAGATTATGACTTGTTGGGGTCGATTAAATTGTTCGTTAGAGTTTAATGAGTTCTAATATTATATTATTATTTGAAGTTCAACTTAAAAGGTCAATTTTTTTAGTAGTTCAAATCCTTTTTGTTGATTTATATTTTAATAATTAGCCAATGTCGGATTCATTCCTTTTGAGTACTTGTTACTCGACAAAAATTAACTATGTTTTTCTTTTCCATTGAAGAACCCCTGATATTGCGAGTTGAGAGGTCCAACTTGGCATTATTTTTCATTTTTTTGGGGGAATTAAATGCTATGTAAATTCAGTGACAATTGTAAAGGGGAGGTTTATGATCTGAAAACCATTGGAACTAGTTTTCCGATATGTTCCCAGCGCTTAACAGGGGACGAGGAATGGATATTTTTCTGTATTTGTTTTAGATTTACACAAACTTTTAAACTTGTCTAGAGTCTGTGGAAATTATGACATTTTTTTAATCTTTGGTATGTATTATAAGAAAATGTTACGCAATTCAAGAGGCAAACCAACTCACGATTTTCTTTTTGTTGTTTAGTACAAGTAGCTACGGAGTTTGCTATGACTTTTTACTATCATTCGACCATTATGGATGCTTTTGTCTCTATTCAATACATAATGACAGAACTTAAATTTGGTTGTTTAATTCGATGAGTTCATTCCTTTTGTGTTATAAATGAATGTCCTAAGCCTCTGCAGAAAATGAGGATTGAGCTTAAATCCTACATAAACTTGGAGAATCCGTGAAAGAGCTGTTTGAGAGCTATAAGATATCGAAGAACTTTGCGCAGTTGCAAGTCTCCAATACTGATTCTGATTTGCCTGAAGAAGGAAATCATTTATCTGACGGCAATGTTCACAGCTCTACTTCTTAAATAACTGATGCTGAGAAGCTGAAGCCTAATCCATCGGACACAGATGCTAATGAAACAGAATAAGGTGAAGAAGCAGGGAAAGAAATCTCAATTCCTTCTATCTCACACTGCATTTGTTACTCTGTTTCAAATGTAGAATATTATAGAATATTGAATGGTCTAAAGTGTGCATATATGTTAGGTGGGATTTGTGATTTTTGTAAGTTTCTTGTGTTTATGAATTATGCTAAAGAATGCAATGGATTTGTCTAACTCCATACAATTGTGTTTATCGAGGGATTTTGAATGGTGGATAAATGAATAATACTTATAAATTTCATGAAGTGTATGGATGAAAAATGATTTAACAGATCATAAATATTAACTAAATATGATAGCCAAAAGACTATCTATGTTAACTTCTCCAGATCGCAAGGATAGTTTCTTTAGGTTCCCTATGTGCGACACTCGACAATATAAAAAAGCAAGTCAAAATTTTATACATTGCGTACAAAACACACCCAAACGATTTTTGACTTGGTATACAACAGTCTTCGCCCTTATATGACAATTATAAAATAAAACTCTTTTTTTCTTTTTAAATCAAACTCATTTTCAACCACATTCTTACAATAAAATATTTTGCAAGAAAATTTAAAACTTTTTCCTACTTTTCAATCACATATTCTCCAAAAATCACTATTTCAAAAACTCAATTTTCTCCAGGAGGAGAAACTCATTTTAATGGTTGTCAAACATGGACTTCCTAGGCAAATCGTTTGACAAACTTTGTTAGTAATACATGCATTGGAGAATTGCCACTAATTTGAAACCATAATATGCTAGAGAAACACATTTTTACCTGAAATTATTTTACTTGTGATTCTAATGCAAATCTATGTAGCAATTCTAATTCACATTACAGATCCAAAAGTTAACACAAGCATTATCTAAGGTACACATTTTACGGAATTAAGTTTTGGAACTCTGTATCATTTCACTGACTGTAGCTATGCACTTGGGAGTCAATCAGCAGTCCAGCTTTGCTCCACAATCTCCCGTACTTTTCGATTGTACTCTCGCTTATTCTCACTGAACATCTGAGCAGCTTCAGAATTTGCAGGAGAATTTGGGTTCGGATCAGATAATAACGACTGCATCAATTCAAAATGCCTTTTTGGCTTTAAAATTTTACTTAATTGATGAGCAATCGACTATTGAAGTAAAAGCATCAAGGCATGAACCCAATGAGGTTCTAATATTGTGGAGTGATAGATAGGTGGAGAAAGTAAACAAAATGGCCTCTCAAACAACCATTCACAGATGATATGTGTTTCATTCAATATTGATATTGTTCTCTGAGCTCCCTTTTCTTATGATTTGCTAGCAAACCGAGAAGGAAACATTTACACTACAACACGTTCCGATAGAACAAATTTTACCTTCTCCAAAACAGTTGTCCAAATTTTAAATATGAAACTGAATCCGATTCACCACCACAAAGTCCACCGAAAAAAATTTAACGGAATTAACCCAATACAAAACTCAATCCAAATAATATACATGATTAGGAAAGAGGTGTTGTGAACCGCTAAATTTCCAAATTCTACCTTAAGTTTGCTTTAAGACAGATGTATAACAATTATAAAAAAAATTCAAGAAACTATTCTCATTAAACGATAAGGCTAAGAGAATGAAAGAAAATATCATTCAAATTGGAAGGTCATATCACTAAAATCAAAAGTTCAAATGTAAAAATACTAAAATAAAAACCATCTTAAAGAAATAGTGAAACTTTATAAGCTCCAACTGCCATAAATAACATTTTCTTGAAACTACATATCTTATTTGTTAAGAAAACATATAATCTTTCAAACGCCAAGGTTGCTAACTTGGCATTTTCTTTGGCAGTGCACTAGACTTAGGGCAGATATTTACATGCTAAATTCAGCCATAGTATCAGTAATATACCTGGATAGATGTGAGTATAGCCGCAACATCATATATTGGACTCCACTGATTCTGCAGGATGTCAAGACATATACTTCCATCCGTATAAACTGATCAAATCCAAAAAGTAATTTGAAGTCTTAGGTCACATTACATTCATGTTTACAATAAATTCAAGTTTTAATCGGAAAAAAGGAAGCATCTTCATCTTACTGTTTGGATGGAACATCTGAGAGACAAATCTCACTTTTGGAGGCTTGTTGGGGTAATCTTCACTGAACTGAAGTGTTAACTTGAACGTACCTGACATGCTCAAATAATATTTGTAAAAACTATACCAGATAGAGTCTCTAGTTAACAAGTGAGACAATGGTACTTGAAAAGAATATGTGATTTTATTAAGTAGATCTTTTCAATTTTTTTTTTCCAGTATTTTGCAGCGAATAACTTGAAGCTTGATAAAAATATATAAAACCAAACTATATAATATCAGATTCTACCTGGCCAAAGTTAAATGGCCTTTTGCTTTCTTTCCTAGTTTTTACCCATGCTTTTACAGAGACCTGGGTAGGAGCTTGAAAGCCGAAGTGCTCTGGAAAAGCCAGGTCGAATTGCTGATCAAAAGGTCCTGTAGGAGTCTAGGCCGTGACTCCATCCCAGTGTGGCTGATATATCCATAGGCTAATCATACTCCTAACATTTTGGGAGGCAGAATTTGGTTTCATTTACCGCAATGCCCGGAAATGTAAAGCAAAGAAAAATCACGACTTTTAAACCCTGTCCAGCCTATGTAAGTCAACTCTACCCCTGTAATTATTAAAGTCTTGTCCTTCATAAAACTACATGTACGTACAGCTTTAGAACCCCTCTGAATTTTACATGAGATACATAAGAACTAAAATCTATTTCTTAATAAAGATATCATTTGGCATGAGTAACTAAGAATGCAAAATGGAAATGATTAAGAATCATATATAATAAAAATCATAAGTACCGAAACTCAATATCAAAAACTTTAAAAGTAAACACTTCCGAACAAATTCTGAGCATAAGAATGACCCACCTCCATCCCAATTTGTGTCATCAGGGCTGCAATTCATACCAGAAAAGATACCATAAGATGATACTTAAAAATCACCTACATAGAAGAGAATAAATAAACAAATATATAGACATAATAAATTACAAATAATACCATTTGATTTTGGCGCAAGCAGAATGCTGAAACTCACCCGAATATGATCGCATTCCAAAGCATAATATTATTTTCTTGGGGCGCGCCACTGATACCCGCAGGCGGGTCCTGTTGTAACCTCTTGAAATCCCTCATTAGTCGCTTCCTAGATGGAGTAGACATCTTAATTGCCTAATATAACAATCATTAACAGAATTAATTAGCATTCACAGGAAAACACCAACATATAATTAACTAAAATTCACAGTCAAAATAATCACAATCTAATAGTTTTGTTCAATAATTCACACACAGATTCTTGCGTTCAGATGAGAGATTATATGACTTTTCAGTAATATTTCCGAAAATAAACTTAGGGTTATCTACAGTATTCATTACAATTATAAAGACTCAATTTTCATTCAAGAAATGTAAATTATCACCTCAATTTAGCATTTAAAAGAATTTTATGTTAAACCCAGAATTCTAATGCATAAATACCCAAAAAGAAAAACAAAAAACTAAAGACTCTTATCTCTCCGTCATATCAATATTCAAGATTCCAAGTCGATTTTTCTTTATCTACATCCAATTAATTAAATAAATGAAAAAACAACATCTACATGAATTTTATAATGGGTATATCTTTACCAGGGAGACGAATCAATTGAAGTCCTCTGGTTGAGTGTGTGAAGCGTTAAGCCAAGGAAAGAAAGAATGAAAGAAAAGAACAGTGGGAATCGGGATATTATCGTTAGGCTGGCCTATTTCTTGCACACGCTTACTGGCGCATAGGTGGTTAATTAAATGGATAATCATTAAAATTTTCGTTATATTATTACTTATTCATTGAAAAAAATGAATAAGATTACATTGCTTGCTTATATATTAAAACAAACATGTTATAACAACAGGATTTTTTCACAGATTCTCTTCAAGAAGATGGCCATTTTTCCGTAATTGGCTGTTGTCAAACACAATTTTTGGTACACAAAAATCAGCTCTTTCTGTACAAAATTTGTGAAAACATCCTATACTTGATTTTTTTTTATATTAAAATTGTTACTTATTTACCATGTGTGGAATCCGTTTATGTGATGGAAATTGTCATTTGATCAATAGAGATAAAATGTAATTAAATGTGCTCATTAAATTTAACCTTATGTTACTAATTGTGCATTGAATAAAAAATAAACACATTGTTCACTTATCTATTCAAATTGTTTCTCATTCATCACGGTGATTAATATAAGTTATAAATTAGCTTCCGATAGTTTAAGTTGGAAAAAATAGATTTTCAAAGATTTCAAGAGACGAACTCAAAGTGTTCAAAATAATTTATACTTCTTTGCCAAAGTATTAATACCCACATAAACTCTATTTTCTTGAATAGTGTATTTGTACCCCCAACCCATGATGCGAAGGATTTATTTTCATTGTTTCATTTTATGTCCTTGTTGGCCCTAATTTTTCATTAAACTCATTTTCAATCATACAATTCATTAATTTTTATCAAAATCTACTGAAATCTAATTTTTAACTAAACCAAATAAGGGCTATATTTTGACCTTCAAATTTTTTAAATACAAATTATTGACAAATTGGAAAGACCAACACAAGGGAGATCGTAATTTCAATTATACATATAACCATTTCAATTATTTACAAGAGATCTATCGAGTATATGTAAATACATATAACCATTTCAATTATTTGCAAGAGATCTATCGAGTATACATATACACGAGAAATGAGTATCCCTTTTATACTTTTTCTACAGGTACACAAGAAAATTATCTACTTTGGCTTCCTACTTGATGCTTTTGAGCTCAATTCAGATGAGCAGGCCTGCTGGCATTCATTTTTCAACGAAAGGAAAGAAATGTTAAATTAAATCTCTGACTATATATACCTAACACTCTTTTTGCACAATGCAACTTAGAGAGCCAGCAAATTGTGTAAGCTTATTTACAAATGTTCCAGGCTTTGGGCTGACCATATCAGGATCCCCACCAAATTTGTGATTAGGGTCTCCAGACTGTGTGAAGAAGGCTCCATTCATCATCACATCTCCCTCTGATTTCCATACCCAATTTTTCCACACACTGTCAGGTGTATATTCTCTCTTTGTCACCTGCACACCAGAATCAAGAATCAGCTGTAAAAAATTGTTATTTCAGTGTGTGTATGTTGAGGTGGACGGGACATTAACGAACAACATTAAGGAAAAGGAAGAAGTTAAGTTCTTGTTTGATGAATAGTGTATTGGAGCCTAGACCATATGTTCACTTATCCTCTCGATCGACTAGAGATGGACCTAATATTCAAGGGTATCTCCCCATCATTTATAACAGATTTTACGGAGGTCTCATTTTCTGATGAAAGAGGCGTGACATCTTTTGCACACTACTTCACAGCAGTGAAAAATTCAACGGTTTACATTTTATTTTTTAGTATTTTCGGGCTTAACTGCAAACATTGTCGAGTGCATTGTCTAACGTTGTCCATTAAACATATTGATAGTGCTCGATATGCTTACCTCTTTGGCAAAAGAATTTGGCGGGGCGATGAAGCGATTGCCCTGGCTAAGTATGGTAGGGTGTTGGCTTCCACCGATGGCATACATGAGCCAGTGAGTATAATCATTGTTAAGTATATGTACAAAACCCCATCTCGCTCTCGGCATTCTTTGTTCCAATCCTTGTCCGAAGTGATTGAAACAAAGGGTGATTTGCATTATTGAGTCGTCCGAGTAGCTATCACTTGCTCCAAATAACATTACCTGCATAGTAATATAATCATTCATTCTTCTTTCATCTTGAAACATAAATCGCATATTTAGTGCTTGTTTGGGGAAACTTAAAAAGTTGGATTAAAGTCGAAAATGAATATTAACCACACGTTTATTGGGACCCACAATTTTTATCAAATTTTTCAACCACATATTTCATCAGCTTCTATTAAAATCACCTAAATTTTAATCAAAAGTTTTGTCAAACAACCCCTTAGTTTGTAGTTAATGAGAGGCAACACGACAAGTTCTCTCAAATTCCTTAGTTAGTTGGAGATCTGCAATAATTCCCTTTAATAACCATGACCAGGCTCAAGAATCCATCTTTATGAATCCATTAGGAGATAACTCAGTATCAATATATAAAAAAAAAAAAAAAAAAAATCAGTATCAATAGTACGAACAAGATTTTATATATGTAGTCTCTGTCACCAAACATGCCCAAAAAACAATTCATCGTCTTGAAAATGCACGAATTTTGTTTGGATTAAGGAAAAAAGAGGCAAAGACAAGGAAGAAATTCCATAGTTAGGTAGAACAACAATTGAGATTACCTCATTATGGTTGGTGAAATGGCAATTGGATATGGTAATGGCCGTAGAAGCTTGAATGACATCAATAAGTCCATCTTCACAATTTGACATGGAAATATGATCAATCCAAATATTCGTACCCCCAAAAATCGAAATGCCATCACCATCACTTCTCGTCCGGTAGCCATAGTGATCTATAGAATCTCTAATTAGGCCGCCGTTACCGGCTTTAATGTCATGAATTCGAAGGCTATGAATGATCACATTACTTATGAATTGTAAGGTAAAACCAGCACCATTGGCAATATGCACTCGTGCTCCACGCCCATCAATTGTTTTGTTACTTGTCATTATAAGTTCTTCACTTAGCCTAATAACCATATCATGTGCAAATATGATCCATAGTGGCTCCGGTTGGATCACGGCATGGCGCAAAGTTCCCGGCTTAGGGTTAATTTCGTCATTGTCTGATGGATCCGTTACAACGTAAATCTTTCCACCCTTTCCTCCGGTAGCATGTCGACCAAACCCTAGAGCGCAATCGGCTAGTTTCATTCGATTTTGTGCCCAGTTTTTGTCACATCTCCAGCATTGATCAATAGGATTTGTAGCCATGCATGGACCATTATTCTTTTGTAAATCCCTTCTTCTTGTGCTGTTGCTGCCATCTATCGACCTGCATTGAACAAAACATTGTTTTATATAAACAAAAATGTCGAAGAAAGCCTTATTCCTTGAAAAATCCGTCAATCGACGGAATTAATATCTTTTCTCGTCACTCTGTTCAATTCATTACAACTTACTTGTGAACGCGCTTATTGAGATTATCCATGACTTCTTTTGAATTTGGTTGATAAGCCTGGCGAGCGGCCTCCTTGGCTTTATCTGCTCGCTCTTGCCAAACCCTATCAAAATCTGTATCAATTGCTTCTGATGTAAAAATCATGGTGGAAAAAATGAATAAAACGATTCTATGTTTAATTACATCCATTATTGCACATCTACTAATGCCTTTGTTCTTGTTATTATTATTTTTTTTTTCTTTCCTATCTTCTATAAAATGTAGAGTAGATATATGAAAATGTAGGGTTGGTCAATTTGTGTTGGAATAAGAGAATTAAGGGATGATGAGAAGCTGAGAGTGAAATACGGCGAACCTCTTTTGCACAACCAGTGAGGGAAAATGCCATGAGTACAAGAAATTTCTTAACAGAATTTCTATCTATGCTTATTGACGTGGTCGTAGATGATTGGATTGATTTCTTTATCAATCAATTCTTGCCATGTGTTGTCCGTCAATAGTTTTTGTTAATTTTTTTTGTACTTGTAACATAATTCACTGGTGAATCACTAGTATATATTATTTTCTTCGGACATTTCCCCCCTTTACTATGAGATAGAAAGGGCATAATATTTGGGAAACATTATTAGAAATTAAAAGTTATTTTTACCACCTAGTCAAAATCAAATTTTAATTACAACCACAAGTTCAAAACTATTACTCATTGTTATTCACATATTTTATGATCTTGACCGATCTTTCCAGAACACACATGCGTACTAATTTGAGTGTATGCTTATTAGGATACCGTATTAAAATGTATTAAATGATATAATGAATAAGATTTAAATTATTTTATTAATAATCGATCCACTTTACAAAAAAGGCCAAGTGTAAACAAAGTATAAGATTGAAATTGGCCTTCAATTATATCTGTAGTTATTTATTAAAATTCAGTGGAATATAATTTGATTTCAAATGATATTTCACCCCAATCAATGTCTTATGCAAAAAGATGATATTATTTAACAATAATTAAAAATTCGACACTAATAATATTTACCAAATATGCCAACTATTTTTACTTATATCCTTGTACAGAAAATGAGACATGAGGGGTTCGTAACGGACACTTTATTTCATTGCCTACTCTTTTTTGAAAAATACCATGCACCTCAAGCATTGAATCTTGAACGTGGCTTCTACTAATTAATCATGTCATTATTATAATCACTTAAATTTTTAAATATTATATTAACGCTTACTCGATTAAAAAATTAACATAAAAAAATAAGAGTGGTCTTTCGTTCATCTCACTTTTACTATGAAAAACGAATAAAAAATATATATATTCTTCTATATGCTTATTGTTCACGAAAATATATGTCGATTTAAAATTATTGTAAGTGAACGGTTCGTTAACAAGTAATAAAATGACTTGTAAGTCCAAGTATGATCCCACAAAGATTGTCTTAGTTCAATTTTAATTACCACGACCTTAATCGTAACAAGAATGACAAAATGTGGTGTTATGATGAAATTATAACTAAAATAATGACACAAATATGAATGAATTAACTAAATTAGATGTAAATTTATGCTAAATGAAATTTGATATGTTCTAATGAATGATAAACATTCGAAGATTGTGAATTCCCATGCAATAGTCCTTTCTAACATTAGTTTTACATTTTTACAACATGATTAAATATTAAAGAATCAGTATTCCTATTATATTTAATAATCTCTTTTAAGTAATATTAAACATATTCTTATATATAATCAGACTATATTTCTATGACGAACGCAAACATACAAGAATGCATGAATTTTTATGAACACTTAAAGATTTACATAGAGTATAGCGGTATATTTTTATTCTCTATCAGACCCTATGACGATTTATACCATGTCGAGTTTATTTTTCTTCTTTCGAATGTATAAAATAAGCCACCATATTCACATAATTACCGTTCACAATAATCATGGAGAAAGAGAATTCATATAAACCATTCAAAACTTAAAAATGTGTTTTTAATGTCAAGAATGTAAAACTAAAGATTAAAAACTCATACTACATTGTTCATCGTTCTCCTAGCACATAGAAATCTAGCCTAATAGGGTTCATCATTCTTCTAGCACATAGAAATCAAGCCTAACATGGCGTTATTACGAAAAAGAAACTTGAAGAAACAATATCACCCAGTTACTTATTTATTTGAATCTTCGTGTTTTCAGGTTGTTCTTTGCGTTTCTTGCCTCCTTCCATGCTCTTAAATCCTTAGAAATCTGTTAGAATGAGCCTTTCCCGTTTTGGATGGTCCTAGGGTTTTAAAAAGTGTCCCTAGATTTGATTTCATCAGAATTTTAATCAAATAAGGGAATCAAAATTTTCATGACGAAATTGTACTATGTGACCGTATAGTTCAATTAAAATCAGTCCTTCCACTATTTGAACATTGGTATGCGACCGCATGGAAAATTATACTTTGCGATCGAATAGTATTGTAAACTTTCTAAAGTTGCAATTTAGTCCCGAAACTCCAATTTCTGGTTTCTGACATTTTTTTTCTTATTTCTTCTTCTTCCAACACTTCACATCTTCAACAAATTGGTCCTAACTCTTTTGCATCCTCGTTTCTACTTTTGGATCATCTTTTGGTTATTTACATTTTGGTCCTTGAACTTTGATTTTCTTCCATTTTGTCATTTTTTGCTTATTTCTCCTAATTTCAGCGCATTCATCAATCTTGTCTTACAAAACATAATTTATACAGAATTAAACCATATTCCAACACAATTACCAACAATTGTCCATATTTGTGGGCTAACTAAGTGTGTAAAAAGTATTTATCACTTATAAATATTACAACTATCTCAATTGTACTTTTATACCGATGAGACATTAAACTTTCCGTAAATCTTGATAAGAGGGTGGAGCTCAATGGTGTGAGCAACCATTTTGGGCAGCTATGAAGAAGAAAACTAAGGAATAAACACATGCATGATATTGCAAGAGAAGCTAATTATAAGTTCAACATAAAAAATAAGCTCATAATTTCTACTTAGATTGTGTGAAATTCATCAAAATCAAGGCTAAATATGTTCATTTCTTGTATACTTAAAGGGTTCAACACAGAACATGTGAGGGGTCAAGCAGATCATAAATCCAGCCATGTAACCATAAGTGGGAGAAGGAAGGAGAATGAAGCATATATATTCTTTCGAGCGATCTTACAAGGTGTCTGAGAATTCAAAGTTGCAGAGGCCAGTGCAAAATTTGAAGACGAAATCTTATCCGTGATCCTAAGAGAACAAGAGATCAAAAGGATGCCATGAGATCACGCATTCATCCAATGATTATGACCATGATAATCAAAGCTATGAGTCGAGTGGGGATGAAGATTTAGACTAAGATAATGATGATGGCAATTGCTACAACTGTGAGAATAAACGAGTGCTCGAAGAAGAAGAATAATTTTTTGACATAGACACGGAAAATCAGTCAAATGAAGGCAAACTATTTCAAGAAGTAAAAAAGAAGAAAGATAACTGACAGCTTTTTTAGCATTTGTCTGGGCGTTCCCGTCTTGCAGATATTTCAGTCAAATGGATAGAGAGAGCTTTAAATAATGGACAATTCCATTTCTACCGAATAAAATGTACTAATAGTTGTCCTCCTCTCATAATGCACACTGGCCCCGCGTGAATATAAATATTCTCAAATGTTGTCCCCACTCCCTATTGTGAGTAGTAGGTAAAGAATTAGGTAAAAAAAATTATGAACATTTAGCAATATCCTTAAATAATTAGTGTTTCCACTGTTTATCAGTGCTGTTATTGCAAATTTGTACTTTACAACCTATATTACATTCTGTCAAACGTATGGAGAAAAAAAATGTATATACATTATGGGATACATCTTATCTATAATCTATAATATATTAAATATCACATCAAATGAAAATCATTTTTATAATGATTTTAATCATACTACAATTTAATTATTTCAACGTTTCTCAATATGTAATAAATACTTCAAAATCTTTGTCGTGTATGAATTTCATGTTATTATGAGAATTAACTAATATTCATATTAATTTAGACTCGGTGAATCTTGACTTTACAATTTTTGATATATACAAATCTAGAATTATTATAAATGAATTTACTTATATTCATGTAGCTATGAATTTCAATGGGTGTTTGAATTCATGTATTACCGATTAATTCTTATGTACCAAATATAATATAAAAATATTACTTCTTCATAGTATTTTATCATCACAAGAAATTTGAATCATAGAAATTTATCATCACAAGCATCATCAAGATTCATTTTTGGGATGCTTGCCCTTATCACTGATAAACAGAGAAACCAGAAGTCATTTTGGGTCCACAAAATATAATAGTTTGGCTGAACAATGAATATAGAAACTATTTATAGACATACACCAATTCATAGAATTCAAGTTATCGAGTGTTAAGTTTTATGTCCTTACCATCGAGGGCATAGGCCTGCATTTGACTCCTGGTGTTACTGAGTCTGTAAAAAGCATCACTGGCTTTGTCTGCCAGGGCACGGTACTGTATTGATGCCACTACATTGACAAATACATTGTCCTAAAAACCAATAATTATGAAAACTAACTACTTTTTTCTGAGAATCACTTATTCAGAGTAACAATTCAAGGCTTCAAATAAACAGATATAAACAAGATAACTAAGAAAAGCTTTCCGACAACATCAATAAAACAAGAAGTGGGTTAAGACGTCATAAGATTAGACTATGCTACAACTACTGGGCTTCGGCATCGCTATGAAAAAACATAGACGGTGTAAGGTCAAGGGTGGGTTGAGATTTAAGTTCAGAAATCTTGAGATCAATTACCTATCGCATCACTGATGCACATACAAATTTTCAACTCCCATAAAACTGAATGGTTCAATTTAATGCTGGAATTCTGAGTAAAAGATGGACCTTTGTCTTTGTCTCACAGCGCACGTCCAACTGCTGCAGCCGAAGGGAGAGATGGCCAGCCAACTGTTTTCCAAGGAACCAAGGGAGGCAATGACATCCAGGCTCAAGAACTTCGTCAAATTTGCCAAATTGCTCCCTAATAGCAACCGTGGATTGGTCTACTTTTACACAACAAAATAGATTTCCCATTTCTTGCACAGATTCTGGACAAAAAATTTAAACCCAATCTTAATTTACTGAAAACCACAAAACAATTTTTCTTCTCAACCCCCAAGCTGAAAAACTATGAAGTAACTATAGAAGAAAAATCAAGAAAAATATGGTCTATATAAAATGTCATGCAAGGGTGGGAGTGGGATTGATTACACAATAACTTTACTATGTTTTGTTCTGTAATTGCCGCGAAATTGCTTCATAGATATTGATGAAGTCTCACTTTGTTATCTTCCGTGATTGAGGAATTGGGATAGTGACGGTATTATAATTTACTTTATTTTATAGTTTTTATTATTACTTTCAATTTGAGCTGGTAAATTATAATATTGAACCTAATTGTCAATGACATATATAAAATCTAAATATTGTAAAATATAAAACTTTGTTGGTGCTATCTGACGATTTTCATGAACGACCAAAATAGAGTAAGTTATTGTTGACATCGCCAACAATATTGCAATTTGCGTCAATAACCATTGATGAGACGTGAATCGATGGTTATATAGCTATTGATAATATCCACATTAATCTACACTATGGGATAAACATCTTATCTATAATATATTAAATTTATCACATCAAGTGGGCACTTTTTTCTTTTTTTTTGAACGATTTTAATCCGACTAGAATTCAGTTATTTCACTAATACTTTTTGTTTTTCAATAGGTAATGAGAGCTGAATAGATGGTTATATAGCTATGGATAATATTCACATTAATCTACACTATGGGATAAACATCTTATCTATAATATATTAAATTTATCCCATCAAGTGAGCACTTTTTTTTTTGAATAATTTTAACTCTACTAAAATTTAATTATGGGGTTGTTTGTTGCACATTTTATCAAAATGAAAAATGAGAATTCCTATCGTTGGGCACATTCTCACAGCAAAATGTGAGATGAGAGTTAAAGCATTTATGACAAGTGGCCCCAGAATCTACTATATTTTTTCCTAAAATGGAGGGAAAATGTGCAACAAACAGGCTCTAATCACTAATACTTTACTTTTCGTTTTTCAATAGGTAATAAATACTACAAAATATTGTCATATATATTTCATGTTATTAATTCTTGATTAATTAATATTCCTATTAATCTAAACACAATGAATCTTGACTTGATGAAATTTGTTATACATGAATCTAGAGTTATTATAGATGATTCATGTATCTAGAAATTTTAATGGGTGCTTAAATTCATGTATTAGCAATTAATTTTTATGTACCAAATATAATATAAAAATATTCCTCATTTGTAGTATTTCATCATCGCAAGAAATTTGTATCTGTTGTACATGTGACTCATATAGAGTGGAATACAAGTTCTGGATCAAATGGGCCGATGCCGGTGCGGAGCGGAACGACAGCATCGACCTTGCGCAGATTTAATTCACTGTCTGGTTGTTAGGGACGCTAAATGGGTTGGGGGTGCAGCGGCAACGCCCTTGCGGTACGGTACAGGGGTATTTGGCCAAGGCTAGGGTTAGTATAAATAATATGTTGTAACCCTATTTTTAATAACTGAAAAAAGAAATCTCCGCTTCGCTCTCGTAGACGTAGGCACACCGCCGAACCACGTAAAATTCTTGTGTTGATTTTCGTTTTCATCTCTTTAATATTGCGCATAAAATCCAACAGTATCATAGAATTGAGTTTTGAGAGTACAATTTTCTCCTCATGAATTTCTATCCTAAATTTTATTTTTTTTAGTTCATTTGAGACTCCTCAAATCCTCCAAACAAATTAGTATCAAATAATACTTTTACAGCACTTATAAAATATTTCATTGCACGTTCAACTCTAACTAGTTATTAAAATATTGCATTTACAAGCATTTCCTACTAATTCTATCACCTGTTAAAGAGTACCAGCCTTTGTCTAGCTCATGTTTATGTACATTCAAACCAATTTTTATCCATACATTCCATAGAATCCGCCTATTCATCACTCATTTCTAAGTTCTAACTAACTGTTTATAAACACTTCCAAAACACGCTTCTAGCTTATGTCCCTAAGAGATAGCTTGCTATTGAATTATCATATCCTTCTTTGGTTGTTGTGGGGTTTAATGTCGAAGTTTCTTTCAACCAATAAACAGAGCCCAGAAACTGGCCCGACAAGGCCTCAAGTCTCTACAAAATGTGGACAGAAATGCTAAAGGGACAGGGGGAGGGGATAGATCAAGGGCCGAGGCCGCGCCACCTCAGCCCTGTCACCAATCCGACCTCGGCCCTGTTACCAATCCCTGTCCCCTCACCCTGTATGTGTAGCAGGTCTGAAATGTAGATATGGTCGGCAAGCTCGGTTTACAATTCTAATTCAAGTTAACTTTCTAACTTGATAAACAACATGGTCTCGAAGTTCAATGACCAATTGCCATGTACGTTGATTTAGATGAAACATAACAATCTCACTGTTCAAGACTTTACAGTAGTAGCACATGTATTATAGATCATACTATGCGAAACAGTAGTATGTATAATACATCGAGTTATTGGAAAGTACAATAGCCAGTATCCACAAAACCAAACAGAAAATAGATTTAGTACATGGGAATCAAACGACAATACAAATAAAGCTTGCTTAGATTAGAATATCTGAAAAGCAACCTGGAATTTAAGACAAATGATCCTGAGTAGAAGCCTGAAGAAGTCCATCACGAATCTGGGTAGCCACATCACGGACTGCACCAGGTCCATGTGGAATGAACACAGCAGAAGACTTGGAAGCAGCCCCAATTTCTTTCATCGTATCGAAATACTGAGTGACGAGTACCATATCCATTACGTCCTTTGCAGTGGTTCCAGGCACATTAACTGAGAAACCAAGCACACTATCTCTCAAACCATCGACAATTGCTTGACGTTGGCGAGCAATACCCAAGCCCGAGAGATACTTAGCCTCTGCTTCACCTTCAGCTCGCTTAATTTGCAAAATCTTTTCAGCCTCTGCCTTCTCGTTAGCAGCCACCCTCAGCCTAGCAGCTGTCGATTTCAAAATAGACAAAATAGTTGAGAATTGAAAGAAGGTGAAGTATGTTTCCGGGATGTACTGATCTGGACTACGGATTGAGAAAAACAATGAAAAAAATAGATTTATAAATATGAAAAGAAATCATTAGAAAAATGTATAGTTTCTACTTGAACAAAGATTTCCATCTCATGTTATTGCAACCTAGGCACTTTTGCCTAGAAACAGTTTGTCCCTTTTCACGTCTCTGCATTTATTATATTGGATGTCCTCTTCAATATATCTACTTAGAATATTATTGAGTACAGAGAAGCATGCTTCAGTACTTGGCAAATAACAGAAGATGTGCTGTGTACTTTACCAGCATTAATTTCATTCATTGCTCTCTTAACATGCTCGTCTGGTTCTATGTCAACAATTAGAGTCTGGACAATTTTGTACCCATAAGCAGACATAGCCTGTAAGCAACGATGAAAAGACAAATTACAAGCACGTCCGGAGTTAGGTTCAACGGAAAGAATCCAAATCACTTTGTATGTGAAATTATTACCTTCTCAAGTTCATCTTCAACGGCCATAGCAATTTCATTTTTCTGCTCGAAAGCATCATCAAGATTCATTTTTGGGACGCTTGCCCTTATAACTGATAAACAGAGAAACCAGAAGTCATTTTGGGTCCACAAATTATGATAGTTTGGCTGAATAATGAATATAGAAACTAATATATAGATATACAACAATTCATAGAATTCAAGTTATCAAGTGTAAGTTTTTTGTCCTTGCCATCGAAGACATAGGCCTGAATTTGATTCCTGGTGTTGCTGAGTCTGTAAAAAGCATCACTGGCCTTGTCTGCCAGGGCACGGTACTGTACTGATGCCACTACATTGACAAATACATTGTCCTAAAAAGCAATAATTATGAAAACTAATTATTTTCTCTGAAGAATCACTTATTCGCACTAACAATTGCTTCAAATGAACAGAGATAAACAAGATAACTAAAAGCTTTCCAACAAAAGCAAACAAGGAAGAAGTGGGTTAAGACATCATAAGATTAGACAAAGTTTTATGCTACCACTACTGGGCTTCGGCATCGCTATGAAAAAACATAGCCGGAGTAAGGTCAAGGGTGGGTCGAGATTTTAGTTCAGAAATCTTGAGATCAATTACCTTTCCGAAATCTGATGCACATACAAATTGAAATTATACCGAACGTAAAAATTTTCAACTCCCATAAAACTGAATGGTTCAAATTATTGCTGGAATTTTGGGTAAAAAATGGACCTTTGTCTTTGTCTCACAGCGCACATCCAACTGCTGCAGCCGAAGGGAGAGATGGCCAGCCAAACGTTTTCCAAGGAACCAAGGGACGCAACGACATCCAGGCTCTAGTACTTCGTCAAATTTACCAAACTGCTCCCTAATAGCAACCGTCGACTGGTCTACTTGTGCACAACAACATATATTTCCCATTTCTTGCACAGATTGTGGACAAAAAATTTAAACCCAATTATAATTTACTGAAAACCAGAAAACATTTTTTTCTTCCCAACCCCCAAACCGAAAAACTATGAAGTGACTATAGAAGAATAATCTAAGATAAACACGGTTTATATAAATATCTCGGGGGCGAATCCAGGATATTGAGCCAACACGGGCGGCCGTAATAAAATATTAAAAGCTCGTTTGATGTCATTTTTTGCAAAAAAAATATATTTTGGAATAGTGATTTGATGGAGAATGTATAGTTAAAAATAATAAAAAAATTTGAATTTACGTGTAATATTATTTTATTAAAGAATATTTGATCGAAAATAAAGGAAAGAAAAATGTATTCTGAACTAAATGAGAATCAAACAAAACTTAAAATTTAAATAAAATAATTATTTTGTTGAAATTGAACATATATAATTTTGTTATAGAATAAATCGTACTCACCAAATAATATTATTGCTTTGTATAATTTAAAGGAAGAGCATGGTGTTTGAATTTTTACAATTGCATAAAAACCACTAAAATCGTACATATATTATTCTGATAAACTTTGTATCACAACTCATTAAGTGTCGTAGTGGTCAAGCTTTCGCTATGTCCTAGAAGAGCTCACAGGCTCGATTCTCCATTGGCGGCCCCTTTCCTTATTTCAATGGTTTTTTGTCAAAATTGTATAACTAAAAAGGCAAAAGGAAGTGCCAACCAAAGATTCGAACCCGGAACATCAAAGAAGCAAAAGGTGGCACCAACCAACTTGGCTAGAAGGAACATTTGAAAGAAAAATAACTTACCAGTAATATATACTATATATTTGTCTGTTCTCAGCCAAAAAAAATGGCTCCTAGCAGATCCAGCACGCGTGGTCGCGGGGGCTCGCCGGGTGCTGGATCCACCAGTGAAATATCTCGCTAAGGTGGGCGTGGGATTAATCACACAATAATATTACTGTGTACTGGTCTGTAATTACCGCGAAATTGTTTCATAGATGTTGATGAATTCTCACTTTGTTACCTTGCATCATCTTGGGGCGTAAATTTGACTCGTCTACTCTAGAGGTTCGATCCGAAGAAAGCTCCAATCGACCTGACTTAAGGCTCGAAAGAATCGAGCCGAGGCTCTAGCTGACCCCATTTTGGGCATTGGCTTGAGTCCGAGCCAGCCTCCACAGACCCGTGTCGACGGCCATTTTCGATTCGTAAGTAGCAAAAAATAAAAAATAATAATAATAAATTGAATAAAAGATAGCTAGCTGCCTTAATTAAGGCAGCAGTTAAGTCAACAATAGTTGTTTGACCTGTATTTAAAATTTGAAATTTAAATTTGGTTGAAATGGATATAATATTTTTTTATATAAAAATGAAATAAAATTTTAATTTTGTCTATGTTGATTATAGTCAGTCCCAAGCCCACAACTAGTTTGTCACGAATTTAAAAAAAAAAAAAAAAAAAGAGCGAGCCCAACTCGGCTTGCTGAGGCTTGAGCTAAAAACTTGCATTGAGCCTAGATTTTTAGTCGAGCAAAAGCTCAGCTCGGGCAGAAATTGCCCAAATCATTGTTACTCGAGCCGAGCCCTAGTTTTGAGTTTCAATTTGGCTCATTGATATTCCTAACGTGATTGAGGATTTGGGATAGTGATGGTATTATAATTTCCCCCGTTTTATAGTTTTTATTATTATTCTCATTTGAGATGGTAAAATTTTAACATTGAACCTAATTGTAAGTACCTTATAAAAAATATAAATATTGTAAAATATAAAACTTTGTTGGTGCTATTGACGATTTTCGTAAACGATCAAAATAGAGTAAGTTATTGTTGACATGACCAACAATATTGCATCGTGCATCAATAACCACTGATGAGAGGTGAATCGATGATTATATTGATAATATTGTTGAAAAAAAGATATTTTTAAATTTAATCGCCAATAACTTTTAAAAACATAAATAAATAAAGAAAAATAAAAATATTTCGGTACTACCAACGACTTCTGTCAGTGATTGATGCATTTTCGTCATTGTTAACATATCGACGATGTTGATTCAACAAAGAAATATAACAATTTAATTTTTCTTAATTAAATAAGAAGGTGACGTTTTTAAATTTCGTACAAATAATTGATATCTCCTAGTCGACCTTAGCATCTCTCTGTGGAGGAAAAAAAGGGAAAAAATCAATTAATCCATCGAGTAGATATTTTGTGTTACATAGATCCACAGAGTTATCTAAAAGTTTTATTGTACAATTATTAGGAATAATAATGGCCGGTTGGGCCGAGTTTTATAACTATGAATAATACTATTTACTAGTGAGAACTATCGATAATTGTCCTATTTAACATACATGTAACAGTTTATTATTTGATTTTGAATAGCATTGCTTATTTAGCCAAGTGAAGGAATATTACAAAGTCAATTCAATAATGGATTAGATTTAAAATAGACAGATATTTTCATTATATTATCCAATGGAAATGCTTTGAAAATATCTAAGCTGACCCACTGCTACGGGTGGATAGGCGATGACTATGACATGCTTGATATTGACATCCATTAAAATAAATATGATAGGTATTGTTCAAAGAAACTTGAAATTTAGGAAGAAATAAAGTCATTATAGCGATGTATACCCAAAAAAGACATGCTGGCCTGTATAGGCCACACACATTTGAAAAATAAAAAATAAAAATGCCCTCCCCCACCCATGGATATTAATGCTGGCCTGTACAGGCTCGATGAAAGTTGGCCTGTAAAGTCAGTATTAATCTATCAAAAATTGGAATAAGATATCTCAACCAGCCAGTTCAATTAGAAATGGATCTCAATCTTTGAATACATTACACTTTCGTCTTCAACCTTTTTTTCTAGACGAAAAGTTCCCCAATCATTTAAAAAATAGGCACCATTTAGAAGAATTCCGCTTCAAAAAATTTATATAAATTATGAATTGAAAATTTTGACCCTTTTTAAGTATTTGAATGTACAAATCAACTCAGTTGCTTACTTTCAAAATGTTGGGAATCCCTTTGTAAGATTGAGGGACCAAAAATGCAAATAAATCCAAAGGTTAAAGACGTTTCACATGATTTCACTACTATATAAAAAGGGCAACGTTTCACTACTGTAGAAAGAACAGTAGATTTTTCAATTTTGTCTCACTGTAACTTTTTCTTTTTTTGAGAGAAAGCAACGACGTCGTTTATCTTACGTGTTTGATACATTAACTTTGTTGCTTTTCCTCAATTTACGCAGCGTGCAGGATTATGTCATAGAACTCTATTTACTCTTTCTCCATTTTTACACACTACAGTCATGTCTCTCTATTTCTCCACACTAATTCAAGAGTGAAAGTGTGAATTCCATAAAATATGATTGAAAATATGTTTGAAGAAAAATAAATTTTAAAAAATGAAGACCAAACATGTTAACAAATGAATATATTTATTTTTCGAAAAATAAGTTTTTATTACCGTTTCATTTTTATCGTGAAATGATTCTAATCTTAATATGTTAGATTGTGCTTCAAAATTATATAATCTATCAAATATAATTTTTAAAATTAATTTTTATAAAGTAATATATTGTTACGAATTATTTTTTTAGTAAAGTAATGTTATGGAGGTTCAAGCATTAGCCTCCGTTAACATGAGGCCTCCAGAATTACGAAGGCTCATGCTTGAGCCTCATATATATATATATATATATATAATTTTAAATTAAATTTAAAATTTAATAATTATATTATTATTATAAAATTATAATAATTTTATAATATTATAATAATATAATTATTATAATAATAATTATAATATTATTATTATTATATATACATGGAAATTATAATATTATTATTATTATATACACGAAGGCCCAATTATGCTTGAGCCTCCGTTACACGGAGCCATTATGCTCATGTTATGGAGGCTCAAGCATGAGCCTCCATAACATATTATATTATAAAAATTTAATTATTTTTTATTTTTTTAGTATTATTATATTTCACTTTCCAAAAAACAAAAAAAAATCATAAAACATATTACTTTAAAAAAATTAATTTTAAAAATTATATTTGATAGATTATGTAATTTTGAAATACAATCTAAAATATTACGATTAGAATCATTTTATGATAAAAATGAAATGATAATAAAAACCCATTTCTCGAAAAATAAATATATTCATTTGTTAATAAATAAAAACATTATTTTTATATATGTACGTAAAAGGTATATAGAAATCATTTGGATGACCAAAAAAAAAAAATATCAATCAAAATGTTTACGAACCATTTAAATAATAATTTATTGACGGGGTTAATTCAAGAGCAAAAATGTGAATTCCATAAATATATGTAAAAAAAAAATTCGCTTAAAGTTATTTAAAATAAAAAAAATTATAATTGTAAAAATTACTTGTAACTTAACAATATATTAACTTAAAAATTTGGAGTAAATATTTAAATATATTTTATTTTTAAAATTAAATATTAACTTGTATTTTAAAAAGATGATATATAAATAAAATATCATTTAAATAAAAAAAAATATAAAAGGAATCTCTCCATATTTATTATGGAGACTTGATCTCTCCATGAGATCAAGTTGTCGTATCACGGAGGATTTTCCTCCGTAATATGGAGGCTTGATATGAGTGATCAAATATCTTGTTATGGAGAGATTACGTCTTTGTGTTACCATTTAAATAATAATAAAAATGAAATGGTAATAAAAACTCATTTCTCAAAAAAGAAATATATTCATTTATTAACATGTTTGGTCTTCATTTTTAAAAATTTATTTTTCTTCTAACTATTTTCAATCATATATTTATGAATTCACACTTTCACTCTTGAATTAACCTCCTTAATAAATTATTATTTAAACGATTTGTAAACATTTTGATTGATATTATTTTTTGGTCATCCAAATGGTTATTATATACCTTTTACGTATATATATAAAAATAATGTTTTTATTTAAATTTACTTATGTGCTCAAAAATAAACTTTCTAAAGATACATGGTTGATAACGTGAGAAAATTGTGAAAGAGATAGTGTGGAAAAATAGAGAAGCATGGTTGTAGCGTGTAAAAATGGAGAAAGAGTAAGCT